TCAACGATGCACTAAACAGCACTCACTGCGTATATTTTAATGCTGTTCGCGGCAGTGTCGTGCGGTGCGGGCACGCAAGTCATGCACTGCATCACCAATGTGGAATAGAAAAACGTGGTCTTTACCAATAACTTTGCGGCATTTGAACGAGGAATGAATAAGCTTTAAAACGGTGTACTTACATTTCAAATATCTTCAAGTTTCATAAATACGGGACCTCAAATGAACACCAAGAAAAAATATACGTTGCCACAGAGCGGGACAGAGACGGACAGGCGACGGCTGAAGGGCTCTTGTATTTCTGAAACTGTTGAAGATACTTGAAATGTAATTATACCATTTTAAAACTTATTCATTCCACTTTCAAGTGCCGCGAACCGCATTAAAACATATGCAGTGAGTAAAGTGTAGTATATTGTTGAAAACTGTCCTTTTTTTGGCCCACCCGATATTTTAACCAAATTTTGTGAATTTTGGCAAGGGATCATAAGGAAGATCCAGGACCTCTTTCGAGGGCAAACTGCGAGATAGTCCTCTCTGATCAATTATTTTTATCCCCCTATACCTCTCTGGCAGCCACAGGACGAAATATACGGCTAATCGATGGAAAGACAAAGCTGCCCGACTCAGTAGGTAATAGGAGAGTAATAGTTGGGAGAAACGCGAAGGACTGACCAGTTTAAAATCCCAACTGGAATTTTCTAGCTGGATCATAGCTGTGAATTCAGACCCTTTCCAGCTGGCAAAGAGCTGGAAAATACCAGGTACAAGTTGTTTCAGCTAACATTTTCCAACTGGATTACGGTTGATTTTAGTAGCTATCTCCAGCTGGAATACAGCTGAAGTTACAGCTGAATTTCAGCTGCAATTTCAGATGTTCCCGTAAATAGACCTCAGAAAAGAAAAGCCAAAAAGACACTCTCAATCCATCTCGCATATTGCAGGGAGGAACCAATCTGGATAGGACTTTACTTTCTAGCTGTTTCCCAGCTGGAATGGGTCTGAATTTACAGCAGTGGTCTGGCTAAAAATTATGGCTATTTTCCAACTGTGATTGGTAATAGATACGCCAAAGTGATGACCCGGGGTGCTAGTCGGAGCAAGCCTTTCTTCAGTAAAAAAAAAAATAATAATAAAGTTATCAAGCTCATTTCTCTGGAGAAGCTATCGAGCAAAAATCAGCTCTAGGGATGTACGAGATAGGCTTCCAGCTTCTTCATCGTCCGACCGGATCGCATCATAAGTGTGCATCAATGGCCTAGATTCCTACGTCATAATCAGGAAAATATGAAAACGGTATAGAACTGAATTGCGATCGTAATCCAGGGAAGGCCCTACCAGTAGGCCTCGACCTATCAGAAACGTCGTTCATCAGACGGCCGACTTTGTAGTCGTAACATATTTAAAGCTCACCTCAGATAATTCCGTGGAATCATGAAGTTTTCATCCAGAACGATGGACTCCTCTGGCCCACGCTCCTTGTAGTGAAGGATCCGCAGGGAATCCTTGTTGACTTGTTGCATCCAAATGCACAACAACGCACAATTTCACGTGAAAAAAAAGAACGCAGGAAATGAAACGAGTAGCAAACGCACCTAATTCACAACGTAATGTCAGAAAGAGCCGCCTCGCCGCCATATTGAGAGATTCAAAGGCGCCGCATAAGTGACCTCTCCCATCCATGAACCCCGGAAGGCGAGGAGATGTCCTCACGCCTCAGTTACCTCATGGCCTGGCTCGTATCGGCCTTGCAGAGTTCTCTATTAGACAGGGCCGCAAAACTCAGGTTATTTCTCCCGCCAGCAGGTGTCACGTAAAGCTCTCGTCTCTCGGTACACGCGTGTTTCACATTAATGCGGTGTGACGAGGTAAAAAATCGGAATGAGGATTTGCAAATGAGAATATGCTTGCATGAAAGCTTCTCTTGGGATATTGCCATCCCGTGTTTACGTACCCACCCGTGAAAATTTAGGGGAACCCTATTTCGTGGCGGCGTTCCCATGAGAACGTCGTTGGACAGGATCTCTCGGGGTGCATTAGAAGTCGTCACAGTTTTTTTTTCCTTGTCATGCTTATGTAGAGTTGCACATATAAGTTGAAATTCAAGTTCTTTTCGCCTCCATCATTACGAAAGGCCTTTTTTTCTTGCATAATTTTTTTCCTCGGAAAGGGAATATTTCCCAGGACGGCGATGGAGGGCGCCGAGTGCCCTCCATCGCTGTCCCGGGAGCGAACCTTCAAGAATGCTTTTAAGTACATGGTGAAGGAGTCACCTTTCACAATCAATCATCTCAATCAAAGTGATGTGAAATTCGTGGCTGTCAACTTCATCGATGAGAAGGGATTCGAGAGACCATATTGTGAGTATTCCCTTTTGACGCCTTTGCATACCTCTCCATTGGTGAGGGACATCTCAATTATATCAGTTCCAAATAGCTTTGGAATGCTACCGACCAATTAGTATTACATTTTTCCCCCTTCCGTTTTAGATGAGACCTCTATAGAGTCGAAGAAGAGCAACAGGGTGACGGTAGCAGTTTCTGTCGTTGTGTTTTTATTTGGGCTCTGCATTGCACTTGTCGTAATCTTCCGACATCGTCATCTCAAAAATTCGTTTTGCATCTTTTACAATCACTCATTTTAACCCACGTTCTGGAGCCGTCATTTCGATTTTGGATGTCCTGGGTGAATTCTCACAATGTCCTCAGTGATGATTTTGCCACACTCTAAATTTTTACTAATTGTACTTGTTATATGTTTGCAGATGTTGACGACCCCATCATTCATGGATTCTCAGATGACGAGCTCCTAGTCATAGACACTGTGAGATTTGATGCAGTTCTAGTCCAGTAGTTCTCAACCTTTTCTATGTCCCGACCCATCGAGCCCTCTTAAATTATTTATGCGATCCAAATATTTAGAAATGTCAAGAAGTAATGCTGCCGCGTGACTAGAGAAAAACTGTTTGAATTTTTAAATTTAGAAATTACGCTTTCAAGATATTGTTCTGACCACAGTTGAATCCTTCATTATTCCTTTCTGTTTTTTTACCTCTTTGAGCAACCTCTGAAAAAAAACACAACTGATTTATCCTTCAATACTGGGTGATTTACAGATCATGTAGATCTAAATGGATGTAATGGCCAGCAGTTCGACGCTAACGATGCATTCGGGTTTCATATATTCTGACATTGTGAAACCACTCTGAAGATATGAATACTTTCCGTATTGGTAATCATTTGGAAATTTTTGCCGGAGGAAAGCCGACTTTAGTCCCAGTGCTTCGACCAAGGGTGCTAGCAATAGCACCAGCACTTGCTCTCGGATTTATGAGGAAACGATTCATCTGCACTTGAATGTTAAGCCAAAACAAGTAACTGCAGGAAGTCATAGATGAAACGAACTTCGTAAACCTCCCCCTCCAAAAAAAAGAGTAGGAAAGATATCAGCTCAAGTAGGAGAGAAACGAAATCGAAAAAATAAACTTCGGCATCTGCTCACAAAGTCGTCCCCTAACCACAGTACCGAGGAACCAGATGGAATGCTGGAACTGGCAAGAAGTTAGCTGGAGGCGAAGCTTACGAACAAGAATGATTAAAAATGCATTTTAGAGCTGTTAGCCCTTTGTTTGAATAGTTTGCTGCAAGCCTTCTCCTTATGTTTTCATCCAATCAGGATTAGTAGATTATATCGTTCCTGGAAAGTTAAGCTAATCTTACCCTGTAGATTGGTTTGGCACTTAAGAATGATTTATGTCTTCCTTTATCTCTCTCTCTAGTTCTCTCTATCTTTTACTTTTAATTCATTTCTTTATCTCGTGACCCCACCTGGAAGACCATCGGTTGAGAACCACTGTTCCAATCCATCTGGTTACCTCACAAGTTTCTCTCAATGCTTTTTACTTATTCCATCATCCGACTCAATTCCTATGTGTTCCATTTTACCTGTAACCAACACAATTGTATCAAATTCATCGTGATCGATACAATTTTCCATGTTTATTCACAAACGTGATGATTTCCTATTGTCTGTATCTTCTGTGGCAATTCTCTTCGGCTGCCTGGGTGGTCATAATTTCCAGAGTTGCCGTATGTTGAGTTGCCTATGATAAGTGGAAAGACAGGAGCTTGGAAGGCAGTTCGGGGAAATGTCAAACACTCTGGGTTGTGTTGTCCCATTGGGTTCAGATTGATCCAGAGTGATCATTTGGAAGCCTTTCATCTTTTGCGACTGCTACCCAGTCAAACATTTTCGTTGATTTATCTTCGGGCCATAGCTGGGGGAGTTGGTTCATTTGTTGCTAATGATTGGCTGGCCAACTTGCACTTGTGAGTTGGCCACTGTTCCTTCATCTCTCCCAGAGGAAGGAGCTGTAGGGGGCTAAAGGATGCGATCTCATTTCACCAATAAACATAATGCTATAGCAGTTGGATGGAAGGATGGATGGATGATTGGAAGGATGCAGTTTATGTGGTTTTTTTTCTATATCTTTCCATCTTTGTGAAAAATCGGCTTATGGTTGGGGCATGTGCGGCCCTCCCAACAATGAGCCAAAGTTGGCCCGATGAAGTGCCAACAGGACATGCCCGATCATAAGCCGGCTTAATACTTATCCGGGCAAGGGGGGGTCCATTGGACCCCCCCCCCCCATGGTATATTTCATTTCATTACTCTCCGCAATTTCTTCAAAATATTCTTCAAATTTGATATGGGTTTCATAGATATTTTTGAATCCATAGATTCAAAAACGAATTTTTAAAGTTTGGATTTGCTTTTAAGGAAAAATTTATAAAAATGTTTGGCCTTGCCCGTTTGTGTCACAAAAATACCTTGCCCGGATAACGGTTAAACCAGCCGTAAGCAAACCATATGCCAGTAATGGCCCAACTAAGGCTTATATACGCGTCGACGAAAACCGTCGTTGGCCCGACGAAAATTTTTTTACTTGAATTTGACTGGGTTAGGCATGAGATAATAAAGCAAATGGCTTGACTCAGATCCTACCTGTTTTGCTCTTTTGTCATGTCCAATTTTTCATACACATTGAAAGTCGAGAGTTCCCGGTCTTAGAATACTGTGTATTTGTGCTGATGAAAATAGGTTACAGGGGATGAAAGCATGAACTCAGAGATCACGATTCGATGACATTTGAAACGGTCGCCTCCAGCAGGAAGGAGCGAATGGTCATAGGCTCCAAGGTTACAACTGTGTTCAGCTTTGTGTTTTGATTTGCCTTGAGTTTTCCCTCTGCACCACTGCAAGCCTGACTTACAGTCTTCCAACAAAGCCTCTTTGTGGCATCAAGTGGTTTGTTCCCATCCAACGTCACTTCCTCCACTGACACCACATCGAGATCCACAAACAGATCCTGAAATTAAATAATCATGGATTGATAACCATGTCTGAGCGATTTTTGTGATTGCTAATTTGAGAAATAGAGAGCATCACTTTGATGTCCAAAGTCACTGGTTGTCCGTTATCTTTTCTCTCCAAGAAGTGTTCCAACCGCAAAAACAGTGAACCTCCTCTCCAATTCTCAAGGGTGAGCAAGTTGATGCCCTCAGGCAGTGCAGTCTTGAGGAGAGACCTCTGTCAAACGGAAGGGAAGACGCTGAGTTTTTAACAATACCGAACTGAATTTGGACTTAGGACTCGAAATCCCCGTACCTGGTTCACTGGGGCAGAAGTGAAGTCTTGGAGGGTCATGGTGGTCGGGGAAAAGACAGCAAGAGGCTCGTAGAATATGCGCTTCTCCTCTTCCTTGATCATGTCCATTCCTTCGTTCACCTCCGAAAGGAGGGCGTAGTGAGAGCCTGAAGCCACGAGACCTTCTCCGTGGGCCGTCTCGTTCAACGCCTCGCCCACTCCGAACGCATCGTCGCGGAGACAGCGTCGGTGTATCTACAACGGGAAACAGATCATTAGACTTGTGGCAGGGAATCACGATGGTGGAATTCGAGGCACCCTGTGTTAGCAACCTAAATCCAGCACATCCGACTTGGAACTTGGAAATATTTTACTTTTAAAAAAGTAGCGAGAAAAAACGCCCGATTACTGTAACTCTTGATTTGGCCAAAACAGGGATAAAGCAGTCTCGTAACGAGACGAAACGCATTCGCTTCCGCACCATAAGCTCCAGCTCTCCGTCGTGGATGCTTCCTCCACCCTGTGCCCTGTCCGTGAGCACAGTGAACTGCGTCCCTTGTCCCTCGTCCCGGAGGAAGAGTCGGCTGTTGATGGGATAATAATTCCCCGCCACAGACTCGTACTCCTCCCCCAACGTGAAACTATCTCGTTTGTCCCTCGTCCTCGTCAGGCTCTCCCTCCCGTTGGAGTCTGTGTGGAATTTCCCTCCCGTAGCCATGTCCAGGTGCATTCGGTTTATTACTTCCTTTCCCACTCCGTCTCTGCGTCAAGAAAACGAACAGTACATTCTCTATCTAAAGTATACGAGTGAACGAATAAGTCACATAAAAAAGAGAAATATTCATTCTTTCGCGGAAGCCAAAAGCGTAAATAATGAGAAGTCCGCAAGTGGACTTCAGTGAGAGGGAACCATGTCACGACTTCACCTCCTTTTTTATGCTTCCACGATTTTTTTTCTATTGGGTTGCTCATTAGCTCGGGGGACAGTATTTCCCATTCATAGGATCGTAATGGTAATAGAAGTGATAATCAGTTCATGATAACTTTAAGTTTCGACGTGAGCCTTGGGTCAGAATTAAAGCCCCTTGAGGGGAGGAGTTTTCAAAATTCATACTGGAAGGGGATGGGTCCGACGAGCCATTTCATCTCCAACCAGGGGCTGGATCCATACAGACGCGTCACTTGGCTCAGCCAGTTCCCATATTCCTGGTGAACTTCCTCCACCACATCTCCTGAGAAAGGTAAGGGTTTGAGTCCTCAGTTTCAAATGATAATTTTCTGGGGAGTGACGTTTAAAAATCAATTCACCTCGATAGACGATGGTTCGAGTGGGTTCCCCCGGAGAGACGGGATCCTTTCCGTTGGGCCGGAAGATGTAGGCTCCGGAAGCGCGGAATCCAGCTGCCGAATTATTTCCTTCCATCGAAATGTAATAGAGGAGTTCCTGCGTGAATTCCCTCTTCATTCCGTTTCGTTTCATCCCTTTCGTCGTCCTCGTCTTTCCGTTGAACGTCACCGAAACCTCCTAAATTCGCGAAGGACGGCAACAAAAAGTTAAATACCGGAGAAAATATCACGAATCCAAAAAGGGTAGAACAAAGGACAAAAGCTCGTACGCCATTGGAAAGAGTGAAATCCGCGGTATTGTCGTCCATGACCTCCGTCTCTTGCAAGTCTCCCGATTTCGATTTGGAATCCGCCCGAGTGATGTAGAAATTGGCGAATCCCATCGGGGGCAAGGAAGCGAGGAAAACCAACTCGAATTTGGCGGAACTGCTCCTCCCGGGAACGGTTAGAACTGGGCTGGGAATTGGCATCACGTCCACCGTCTGCTCCGCCCCTGCACGAAAACCCCGGATTCCCCCACGTCACGCACAAGATCCACTTAACGGTTCCCCACGATCCGTCGCTTCGAGCCCACTCCCACCTAATCCCACTTCTCAAAAGATAAAATAAAATAAATTAATAAAAAAAACCTGTATGATCGTAAACGCGGTACGCGGGAGCATCCCCGTTCTCGGAGGCGGGCACGGGGACCCTTGCGGGATGAGACCTCGGCCGACCCAGCGGGTTGTACAGGGTCAGGATGAGAGTGTTCTCCCTCTCAGACACTTCGCACCACGAAATGTTGAGGAATGGGCAGCGCGACATCTCCAGTGTCTGCCCTGCTTCCATCATGGACCTGCAATCCCAGATTCGCGTTTATAGAACTCGATATCATTAAACTAATTTAGCATAATTATGCCAAATTGATTTAATATTATTTATGAAACGCTGAAAATCGCACATGCTATCCAGCTAAAAATGGTCTTACACAACGCAACTTCGCAAAATCGAATGCTGCAGCAGAAAATGAATTCAATTTCCATCTCACTTTAGGGCGTCTCGAACGACGGGCCAGGTGGCATCGAGACCGAGAGAAATGAGTCGGTAATAGTCATCGGTGACGTGCTGCTTGGCCGTGCCGGTCACCGCATCGTGGTGCATGTTCACCCCCATCACCTGTCTCATCTGGGACAGATTCTCCTCCGATCCCGTGGACGGGAACACGCTACCCAGCTGCTTCCCGATCTTCTCGGACACAACATCTTTCTTTATGAATCGTTGAATCGTCTTAATTTGATCTACGAATAATTAGCGTATTTTTGTAAAAAAATAAAATCCCAAAGATCGGCTGAGGGTGCACTTTCGGCAACGTTCTATTTGCTACACTGAATATTTTTTTGCTAGGTGGTGAACTCAAAAAACCTGATCCGATCCCCCATAGACAATGTTTAATATTGTTACGGAGGGGGAACGATTGGCGGGACTTGGAAGGCATGAGAGGCCGAAAGAATGCCAAGGTAAGGCCAGGACTTGAACCCGGGCCTCCTGATCGCTGGTCAAGTGAACCACCACCGAACCCGGGACAATCAGTCCTGCTCCTCGATGCCATCCTCATCCGTTACAATATCTTTTCTTGGACCACTCATTACTTTTTACGCATAAATCCTTCCTGCTGTTCATAATCGAGCCATCGATGAAAGCACCTGCAGGAAGAGGTTGCTCGTACGGATGAACCGCTTGAACGTCGGTCTGGACGAGAAGTAGCCCGTCCAATAGGAGTTGCTGTCAGAGGCGTAGGGGAAGAAATCGTCCGTCTTCTCGGGCCACTGCACCGACGTGTCCTCCTGGGCTGCCTTCAGGTAGCAACTCGGAGTCGAATACAGCAGGTGCACCGAGTCGCCTCGCTCCTCGTTCACGTACCTACCAAATGGAGGGGCGATGCTGTGAAATTTCTCGACACGAGAGTCACGATAGCTAAATTATAGTTAATAGTAACAAAATGGAGGCAAAATAAGATAAAGTAATTTTTAGGTAGGCTTTAGATAGACAAGTGGACCGAAAGCCGTGTTCCTTGCGTTCGTAGACAGGAGTTGAATATAACTGGAGAAGGCAGGACTCAGACTCGTTCTCACTTGATGAGCTTGTCCAAATTCTTGTACCAGATGTTGGCGTCCTGGTAATGGAAATCTTCCCCCATCGTCGCCATGATGTGCTTGGTCCTGAATCCCCCAGATGCCCTTTCCGCCCATGCCACAAATTCCTCCACCTGGACATGAAAAAAGGGCCCGAGTGTTACGAAAGCGTGCCAAATCACGGAATGCTCTCGAGGAATGACTTATTTTTTTCTTCTAACCTTTCTGGGGACGTTGTAGTCCGGAGATCGAGGATTGTCGATGATGACATCGTTGCAGAGGATATCGAAACAAAATCCCGGCGGGGGACCGTAGTGATTAAACAGCACTCCCGCGAACAGATCCCGAGTCGGGTCTACGAATCGATCCATCAATTATTAAGTGATCCCTCCATGAACGACCCGCGAGGCGTCGCCACGCCGCACGACAACGATGCCGACAGATACCGTTGACGAAGTCCTCGGTGCCGTGCCAGACGACCTCCATCGTCTTGTTGACGACCCTCTGCTCCTTGTCGCGGTAGTCGAGGCGAGCGAAGAAGAGACCATCGAAACCCATTCCGGCGAATATCGCTGCCTGCTCCCTGGAGTGTCCGAAGGGGTCGATCTGCCAGGCGACCCTGGGTAGACCGCAGTCGCCGAATTCCTCTACCAGGTACCTGTGACGTGAACATCTCGATCACAGCAATTACATAACGTTATTAATGCTGTCACAATTGCATTCTGCTTATATATGGAACGGGTACTCGGTTTCTTTTTTTTTCCAATGAGGCGCACCAGTTTGGTTCCACGTCATCGGTATGATTTCATATTGGGCTCTTCCCATAGGAATTGCATTAGCCCTTTAATGCATGCTTTTTTTTTTCGGCGAAAAAATCTGGCAGGTTTCACTCACATCCTAGAACGCGGGTCAAGTGGGAAAAAATTAAAAAATCAAAATTTTAAGCAATAAGCACGAAAATGTTATTGTTGCTCATTTGCAACAAACAACATTTTCAGCTTTCTCACCCATGCTGCTTAGATGCTAGAGAACTCAGTCAGTCCTGTAACATTCGTACATACCTCAGCACAAAAGAAAATGTAAAAATACGGGTGACCCTGGACCCTGGATTAGCGTAAAGTTTACAATATTAAAAAAAGTCTATACGACGAAGCTAGATTGGTTTTAATTTGCTTGCCACTAGGAGTGTATGACACCTAGCGACCGCATAGTTGCTAGGTATAAGGACCGGACTATTGCACATATGCTACGAACAGATTTACCTCAGGAGCTCGCTACCTGTGCATTCTAAAAATGTTTATTTGGTATGTAGCATATCTGCTACGTCATGTATTAAAGGGTTAGCACTTGGAATCCTGACAATTTGAATGTGTTATGGGTGCGGGACGTCATATGACGGCCGCAGGGCTCAAAGTGTTAACTGATGGACTTGCATGACTATCAATAACCATGGAATGTTGTGAACAATTCTAGTTGAAGTCAATCCGATCTAGTTATTATTGCACTATGTCTCATAGGTTTGACTGCTGTCGCGGAAGATACACGGCAATTTTGCCCATGACCACCCATTAAGCGCGAAGCGTGGAAGGCGATTTGAACCCCTTCAGTCATTGAAGACTCGGTCGATAAATCTTAACCGAAACACGTTCTCGACCCGCTCACAACCATACCGCGATATATCCCCGAGATAAGCCTCTCGTCCCCAAACAGACCTCATCCCCCAGGCAACATTGTCGATGATGGCCGAGTAATGCGCTGTCGCCTCGTCGTTCATGCTCCACCCTCCCCCGATGAACTCCAGCCGTCCCTCCTCGACGAGGACGCGAACCTTCGCCTTCTTCTCCTCGTTCTGCTCCGCCCACCACATCGCGAAGAAGCCGGTCTCCACCTGGATGAATCGTTTCACCGGATCTCGAAACAGCTCCTCCATCACCGAGTCCAGAATGTATTGCACGCCCGCTCGCTGGATCGTGTTGTTTGCTGTCGGAGTACAATGTTCATCGTTCACGAATTGTTAAATCTGAACAGGTTCGACAGAAGCATTTGATGTTGCTGACCTCCGTAGTAGTACTGATCCACTGTCTTCAACCAACCCAGATCATCGTGACTGTGTGAAACGAGGTGAACGTTCAAGACCCCTGGCTTCGGTGTGGGGCACCCCTACATCGAATCGGGATTCGTATTATCATGACATACCGCTCCTCAATTACTTCCATGTTGCATTATCAATATAATGACTCATTCTTGCCATGTGGTAATCGTACCCTGAAATATGAAATGCTTGGAAATGTGATACCCAGCCGCTTCCATGAGGAAAGACTAGTGGAAAAAAATACCATAGTTTCTTCGCATTCTGAATGCAAGAGCAGAACCAAAGACAATAGCCGCCAGCAAAACAAACCAAAGCAGAAAAAAAACTTGCTCGGTGGTTAAGTTCAGCATCGTCGAAATCACTCTGGGAAATCATCCCAGATTTCTACTGGGGCGGCCAGGCAACCGCAGAGTATCGCCTTTCTTCTCGCTTAGCCAATAAGATAAGCGTCTTTACACTTTGCTTAAAGCGAAATTGGTTACTGCGAGCACCTCCATTGTACTGCTGGCTGCTAAGTCATATCTTGCTTCGCTGATTAAATTCCCTGCTTTTTAAAGTAATTAGTTCGTCATCATACTCCCCAATACTTTGAATTCCCTTCGCTTGAATAATTTACCCTACCTTTTTATTTTCTGGAAAAATTACTTTTTTCAATAAATAAAATTAATAGAATTGCAAAGCGGACGTATGCAACAATTTTTTCCCCTGGTCGATTCAATGGCGTTATAACCAAGTTGGAGTGTAGCTACTACCAACTCTCGCTTCCCCAAGAACTCTGCCGAGTCTCATCAAGACGCACCTGTATTTCTGATGGAAATCTGCTTAAGAGTTTGAAAGCGTATGCTTGCTTCGGGTCCAACGACTACTCCGAATGCACGCTCGCTTTTCCCATTGTGATTGCAGGGCCAAGCAGATATGAAGGGAATGCAACGCCTCTGTTCCTGGTCGTGATTCGCTCTAACCGAAGTAGCTTTTGTGTGCTTCTTCTGCATCTCGACAGGAACCATGCTCGCATTTTCAGTTTTGGAATTTCTTTTTCAATTTGGCTCTTGAAGGTACAGGGTGTTCAAAAAGAAACGCAACCATTGGAAAATGCATGTTTATTAGTAAATTACAAAATTTGCTGAATGTGTTGGTCATTATGATTTGCACATAAGTATACACGGCGAATCAAGTTATCGAACACTTGTTATAATGTTTCAATGTTGTTGTTAACTTGTTTTAATGGGTTACAATGATATATGCATTCTCCAATGGGTTGCGTTTCTTTTTGAACACCCTGTATGAGCTACGAATTCTTAATTATCAATTATCAATAAATTATTATCAATCATAATGCATGCTGTGCATCACGTTTGGCATGTTAGGCCTAAACATCAGATCGAGGATCGTTTGCGAGCTGACACGTGCAGCGAGACACAGAAATTGAGGTGAAGGAGCTTAAGGACAGAGCTAGTACCTGGTACCCGCAGACACGTGGCGCATTCAAGGACTTCCCATCGACCAGACGCATGGAGAGAAGAACAAGGAGCAATCCGGAATGCAGCATGATGAGACGATACATTCATCCGGCGGACACTGAACCGCGCCTCACTCTGACCCTCGCTCGCTTCGCTGCCACTGGCTATATAGTAAATCTGGCTCAAGGGAGGGCTAGCGGTCGTTCAAGGATCTCCCAGTCCCTAAGATACGAATAGATACAACAAAGGATGGGACACGGAGAACCCGGGTTTCCCACAAAGCCCAGTACTGCCATCTCATCTGCATCGCTGACTTAAGCGTTTCGCCTGACCCTTTTTTTACGCCGGGTGGCGCAAAAATGCGTTCGATGTCTATAAAACCAGCTGTGAATCATCTAGGTTCGTGGTTTTATCGCATCACATTGGAAGCAGAACATTTTTTTCTTGAAAGTTTAATGATTCTATGTTTTCTGAATAAAAGCGATAGTCATTCAAAGTGCTGTTATAAAATGTACTTTTCCCCGCATGAGGTGAATGGAGTTTCATCACTGTGAAAATGATTTCTCTCTCTTGACGCCCTAAAAGCAGCCTTTATTTATGGCATCAAGGGACTTCTAGACTCCTCGATCCGTGTTATCGAGTACTCGCGTACCGCATTTCTCCCCAATAATATACAAATGCTTCCCTCTCAATCTATTTGACCAGAATTCATTATGGACCTTTCGATATCATGCCCTCCCATTTTTTCGTTATTCGTGTTTCTTGTATCATCGAGTCATCTTTGACCTATTGTTTATTCTTGAGCTGCTCTTCCTGATGAGAATCGTTAAACATTCTCTTCCCAGCAATCTAGTGGCACTCATAGAAAAATGGAGAGGAGGAGTTCAATTTCATTGAAGGCTCAGAAGAGCATTTGGAAAACATGAACTTGATAGGTTCATCCCATCACCGATCGAGAAACAAAAACGCCTTGAGAAACGAGTCTGGAGAAGTGCAAACGGGGGGGGGGGGTTGTACGATCCGAATAAAAGAGCCACTTCTCCACTTCTAACCACTGTTGTGCTCTGCACGCACCTCGCCTGAGTTCCCCTAAGTGTTCATCGTGTTTTTTTCCATCGCATTTCTGGGTCGCTGCGAAAATAATTCGATAACGGGAAGCTGGCTTCTCGAACTTCGATTGCTACTGGGGTCTCACGATGCGTTTCCAAGGGCTGATAACGGGCTCTCTAGAGAGGCATGTGGATTGCAGATTACCGAACGGAGCAGGCAAGAGAGATGTCATTTACGAAGGAAGATGTCAATTGTTTATCTCGCCGGCTGCGCATGGTTTGGGAAGGCATTTGCGCTGGGGGACTGCGCCGTTCTGCGCAGCCTCTCTCGGATGAAATTGCGCGTCGCGGAATCCCACACAGCACACGGTTGGCGACATCAGGGATGTCCCCAACCGGCCGACTTGTCCCGAGATCTTTAGGAGACATCTTCAGACCAACGGTATCCGATATCTCGGAAGGGATGCCATCGGAGCATCCTAGAGACGCCTTTTAGACATCTTCAGTGATGATTCGACAGATGTCTTGAGGATGCTCCATGAAGACCGAGGGACATGTTGAGGTGATCCATGGGATGTCTCCTTGCCTTGAGGGACCTATCCGCAACCTGTGCGTGGAGGCCATGAATTCCAGGTTCATAACCCTGACGGGAGATGTCTCCCACCTCCCCTGATATCCAACTCCAGATCATTTCATTAACTTTTTTTCCTACTTTATTTGTACAGAGAAGTAAGGATTTTCGTTCGTTGCACTAGGAAAATTGACAAAAGAAAGTGAAAAAAGTCCTCGTTTCAAGTTATTCCGTTATATTCTCAGCAAATATATCTGATCGGCATGCCTGGGTACGACTATCCTGTTTGGGGATCTGAATCAATGCTACAATATAGAGATGTATAAAATCCATGAAAATGGAGAACTTTTCGTAAAGACGAACCAAGTATTACCCACTGGAGAAAAGGGTTATGAGTGTTCCACCTTGTGGCACATCAAGAAGAAGATTTCTCATTGAAACTCGGAAACCTCCCTTTCATGACCCCTCCCTTTCAAAATTAGTGACCAACCTGCGGTTGGTCACTAATTTTGTACTGGGAAGTCCTAGAAGATGAAGTAGAGAAACCACTGAACCTTTGAGTGAAATCACTGAACCATCAATCCGTCTTGCGTGGCAGGAAATGAATCCATTTAAAAAAGAAAGGACCCTGCGCCCTGACATTTTCATAACCTGAGATGTCCCCGCAAAGTTATAATAATACAGTACATCAAGAATATCATTTGTCTCAAGGGGATATCTCTGGAACATCTTTACTTGTGCTGTATGGAATATTACACTTGTTGTGTGAAAGCCATCAGAGGTATCGGAGTACTGGCGTCCTGCCAGATTCGACAGGTAGCAAAGCCAGTACTTACCGGAGAGGTAAATATTTTCTCGTGGGGAAAACAGGCAATTGTCTCTTCACCATCGGCTGACTTTCCAGCGGACGGAAAGTGGACGAAAATGGAGGCATTCGGCTCATGCATCCATGCCCCTTCCTCCTGTCGCAGCGCATATGGTAGCAAGAGGACGTTCCTTTGCCGTGCCTTCTTGACACTGGGAATTCCTCTGGCATGGAACCGAGGAAGAAAATCCTTCTGTGCCGTCTTTGGAAGAGGAGTAGTTCCGCCAGGAAATGACAGCGGCATAATCGATGAACCACGATAATTTTTTTTCTTCTTTTACCGTCCTGACGAAGACCAAGACGAAGACCGTTCAGAGCTCGGATTTCAAAGCATGTTATTTTTGGACTCATGTGACGTGATTTTATCATGGATCTCCAGCAGGCTTTTCGTTCATTTTGTTCGAGGACTCCACTTGACCTAAAGAGACTCGCTTCTGTTGTCCGTGCACTCAGATGCACTCACTCCACAAAAAACACCTCTCGAGTTCTTACTCTTTCTTTTATCATTTCGCATGATCCAATCAGACATAATGACCTGCGAATATCGTATGTCAGGTTCATTCCGTTTACCATGAGGTCGAAAAATGCTATTCGTATTCCGGTGGCTCATATTATTAGGAATTCGTGCCAGTTCCTCTGGGATACGAAAACAATTCGCGCAAGAATACATGCAAATACAAATACATACAAATACTATATTTTCGCGAAAACAGGCACTGTCTCAATATAGCTTTTCCGTGTAGTTCAGCTTCTTTTTTTGGTACTTCCCATGCGGAATCACCATGCGAGGTCTATGTACAAAAAATGGAAATTCCTGTAGATAGAATGGAATGGTTAAAGTCTTAGGCCCGAATGCTGAAACCTCCTTTAGTTAACGGTCCTTTAAGAATACATGGACTCCAACGGGGGAAAAAGAGCTCTTTAGCTTAAAGGCCCCTTTACCTATCTTAAATGAGGTTTTTGCATTCGGGCCTAAATTTTTTGGGAGCTGAAGTATTTCTTCATGAATATATTTTCCGCGGATGGAACCTATGCTACGTTTTTAATGCAGGAGTATGAAAAACCATTCCCTGCATCCAAGGTGTCTACTTGGACCAGACCTTTGTCCTTGGCAGAATCACCGTGTGGTGAGAGAAATTCTGGGTAACAAGGACAAGGGAAGATCTGGGTGTCGGTGAA